CCCTGAGTCAGCCTGGGCCTGCACTGTGGGGCGCCTCAGTGGCTGCGATTCTTCCAGGAAGCAGTTTGCCAGGCCTTTCTTCCAAGGGCCTCCGAGTGACTTAAATCTCCAACCTCTCTGTCAGCACCCGAGCAAGTGAGCCATGCTGTTCACACCTCCCAGCAACTCCTATTCCAGGCTCCTCTCTGCAAAACAGGGTGGGACTGACGAGGCGGCTTCAGGGATCTTTTCAGAAGTGGATTGCCTCATCCTCCTAAGCGGAGGCTGGGGAGTCCAGAGGGCCCTCACAGCAGTTCCTGGACCCGTGTTCCTCTCCAGCAAGCCTGACTGCTGTGGGTTCCCTCTGATGCGTGGAAGGATACTAGTGTGGGCTGAGCCACCGCATCCATGTCCAGACCCAGCCAGATGTGCCTCGGTCCTCAGCAGACCTTTGGGAGCCCTCACCCACCTCAGACTCCAGCATCTGTCAGCTTCCACTTAGCTCTGTCCGCCCCACAGTGTCTGAGGAGTAGACCCCCCTCTGGTTTCCTACCTGGTGGTCTCTCCGATGGTCAGGTCCTGGCTAGGGGCTCCTGCAGGGGGCAGGCGTGGCTCCTCCCGGAATCCTGTGGATGGCCAGTCTCCAGGCTGGGCACCGAGGGCTGCGGGAGGAGAGAGAGCTCAGGCCGTGTGCTGGGGGCTCTGGGAGAGCTGGTCCACCCAGGCTGGAGGGACCAGTGAACCGTTCATCACACAACCTGGGGGCTGTGGACAGTAGCGGCTGTCCCAGGGTTTGGGGGCCTCGGAACCCAGAATTGTCTCCCTGCACCACCGCCCGGACAGGCAGCCTGGAAGCACACTAAAAAACCTGTTACTGGTTTGACAAAGATGAAGCTCAGAGCATCTTAGAGGAGAGGATGGAGGGGCGAATGGGAACTAGACCACAGAGAGGGTGGGGCGGGGACAGAGACATTACAGCGTGGGCCGGGGCATGTGTGAGAGGTCGGGCGGACACCACGTGGTTATGTAAACCTGCCCTCCAATCACACCAAAAAGAGAAAATTCACATTTGAGTGGGCTCCTGTATTTGGCAGAAAGCAGAGAATACCAGAAGAATGTCTATCTGCACTTTATTGACTACGCAAAGGCTTTTGACTGTGTGATCACAACAAGCTGTGGCTGACTCTGAGAAGAACAGGAATCCCAGAACATTTGATTGTGCTTATGCGAAACCTATACTTGGTCCAAGAGGCAGTTGTCAGAACAGAGCAAGGAGATACTACACGGATCAAAATCAAGAAGGGGGTCCTTCAGGGATGTATTCTGTCTCCATACCTTTTCAATCTGTATGCAGAACAGATCATCCAAGACGCTGGGCTGTATGAGGAGGAATGTGGCATCAGGATTGGTGGAAGAATCATCAACAACCTGCGTTATGCAGATGATACAACCCTGCTCGCTGAAACTGAGGAGGACCTGAAGCGCTTGCTGCAGAAGGTCAAGGACTGCAGCCTTCAATATGTATTGAAGCTCAATATCAAGAAAACAAAGATTCTCACCACTGAGCCAATTGACACCATTAGTATGGATGGTGAAGAGATTGAGATAGTAAACAGTTTTCGTTTACTTGGTTCCACAGTCAACACTCTTGGTAACAGCAGTCAGGAAACAGGAGACGAATTGCATTGGGAAAGTCAGCTGTGAGGGACCTCTCAAGAGTACTGAAGTGCAATGACTTCAGGCTGGAGACTAAGGTGCACCTGATCCAGGCTATACTCTTTGCAATATACGTACTATGCATCAGAGAGTTGGACAGTGAATAGGGATGATATAAAGAGAATTGACACCTTTGAGCTGTGGTGCTGGAGAAGAGTGTTGAATTTACAGTGGACTGCTAAGAGAACAAACAGGTTTGTCCTGGAGAAGGTGAAGCCAGAATGCTCCTTGGAGTCAAGGATTCTGAAGCTTTGTCTGACATACTTTGGGCATGTTGCAAGGAGGGACTGGTCCTTGGAGAGGGACAACATGTTTGGGAGAGGGGAGGGACAGTGCAGGAGAGGAAGACCCTCGATGAGATGGATCGATTCTGTGATTGGGGTGGTGGAAATGAATGTGTTGGAGACGGCGAGGTTGGCACAGAATAGAGCGGTGTTTGGGGCTCTTGTACACAGGGTCACTATGAGTCGCAAGAGATTCAGTGGCACGAAACAACAACAACGCCTTCAACTCCAGGGGTAGGATGCCCCGTGCCTCCACCAAGCTGTGGTTGGCAGATTCTGACTTGTGGTGACATCACGAGTCAGAGCGGAGTCAGGCTCTGCAGGATTTTCAGTGTCTGGTTTTACAGAAGGAGAGCACTAGGTCTTTATTCCCAGGAGCCTCTGTGTGGCCTTGAACCCCTAGCCTTTCCACCAGTAGTTGAGCATTTACATCTGCCCCATCCAAGGACTTCTCGGTCCATCTCAGGTGCCGGGAGATGCCCAGACTCTATGCAGTGAATTCTCACGGCTGAGCAGGTCCTACATGGGCCCTTCATGGAGCAGCAGACAGCAGAGACCGCTGTGCAGGGAAGCTTCTCCCAGGGATGGGTGGGGGGAGACAAAGACCCTATTGGAAACGACAAGGACCCCCTTCTCCTGTGTTCACAAGAGTCACACAGCGTCCTGGAGTAGACTTCCCAGGAGAGTGACGGAAGGGGCATAGGGCCAGGAGAGAGACAGACAGACTCTCTGAGGTCTGCTGGGTCCCCTTCCTCCTTCCCCACTGTCCCACCATCAGCCACACCAAAGACTTGCAGTTTCAGCAAAGACAACCTGACCAAGACAAGAGCCAGGAGTCGGCTGGGGAGGGGCTGGAAGGTGGGCGGTAGGACAGGGGGACCAGACGGCTGTTTGTCACCTGCTCCTTCATTTCAGACAGCTTGGCATTTCAGCTCCAGGGTGGCCAGGCCAGGCACGCACGCGGTTCTGATAGTCCAGATCGCTTCGCCCGAGGAGGAAATGAGACTCACTTCCCTCAGGCCAGTGTCTCAGAACTTTATAAGTCACATTCTTGGGCTCTTTTCCTGTGGGAACGATGTACTTTGGGCTAAGTCTTTCACTTAAAAAGAATGTCTTTTCTGGGCCTGGATTCATGTGACCAAGCAGCTGAGGAGGCCACATGTTCTTCCCCCTAAAATACGCAATCCTGTAACACTGTACTGCCTCGGGCTGATAAGCCAAGGAGATGTAAGAATAAGGGTGGAACTCAATGCTTCTAAATGCACCCCATCACAGCCCCATCAGATGTGAAGGGGGTGCCCTAGGGTGTGGCTGCAACCCCTTGTTACAAGATAACAGGGCTGGAGAGTGAGCTGGGGTCCAGATGGACCTCAACGCCACCAGAAAGGCCTCCCTGGGATTGAAGTGCATGTATCTCAGGTACTGGAAGGTCCTTGACAGCCGTGAAGGCCAGGACACCCGGAGATCTCCCAGGAATGGCAGGCTGAAGATGCTGAAGGAAACAAGGCCCTTCCTACAGGAGGAGCAGACAGAGAGGGCTTCCCCCGGGACTGGCACCCTGAGTTTGGACTTCCAACCTATAAGCTTTCCTTAAGCTAGAAGAGAGTAAGTCTGTGTGTGTTAAAGACATGTGCTTGTGTATCACAATTTCAGCAACAGTAGGTCACTAAAACACGAGGGAGACCTTGAGTGCTGACTGGACAAGGTCGGTGCTGGGGGTTGGCTGGAAGTTCATGAGGTGGTTTCCAGTTGGGCCTGTGTTAGGAAAAGCACAAAGTACAAAGAAGAGGTTCTGGTCCTTCCTGCTAGGAGTCCAGAGGCCATCTAAGGGGCAGCTATTGGGCCCTCGCTGTCCAGAACAAAGAAGAAGGAAGAAAAGCAAAGTTGCATAGATGGGTTGAGTCTGAAGAATGAACAGACCACTCTAACCTCATCTCCATGACCATGAGACCAGAAGCACTGGATGGTGCCCCACTGCAATGGCCAACTACTCTGAAAGGCATCACAATAGAAGGTCCTGGATTGAATGGGCCAAAAAAATGTGGAATAAAACTAAAACCACACAAATGGCAAGGCTTACTGGTATGACAGACTGGCAGCACCCCAAGACTATGGCTCTTACTCACCCTGAAAGGACTAAGCCCATTCCTGTGGCTCGGTTTATACCCCCGTCCCAGCCAGGCCTATGGTGAACAGTAACACCAGAGAACAATTAACCACACAAGATCAAAGGGCTGACGTTTGTCCACGGATGAAGCCCAGAAGGCAGGAAGGGGTTGGACAGAAGGATAAATGGAAAATGCGTCACAGGGAGGCAGTGGGAAGTGTGGTGAGCTTGTGGGTGTTGTAGTTAATGTCATAAACCAAAAATGCACATGAGTGGTTGACCAGAAAACCCATCTGCTCTGCAATTCACTCAAATCAAATCAAATCACACAATCAAAAGGAGGAAGAGGATGGGAAAAAAATGAATGCTTTCAGAATTCAGAAAACAAAACTCTTTGCTTGTCTCTTTGAGGTGTAACTCTAAGTGGTCTCTAAGGTTTAGTTGCTTCTCACACTGTGAGAGAGGGTGGGCCTTCCCTACCTTCTCACCTGCTGGGAGGAGGGAGGCCTCACCTGGGGGATCCTGCCACACTGGGCAAAACCCCACCCAGTTACCCCAGGGCCTCAGGTCTGCTGGAGGCGATCTTCCCTCAGGTGTCGAGGCTGTAAATCTCTACATGAGGAGACCACCCATGAGGCAGAGCAGAAAGTCAGTGACAAAGAAGACACCCCTCATCCAGACAGACGGACACAGCGGCTGTAACAGTGGGGTCAAGTTCAGCAGCCATGGGGCAGAACTGACTCAGCTGTCCCCGACACCCACAGGACGGCCTTCTCCCCGACACCCACAGGACGGCCTTCTCCCCGACACCCACAGGACGGCCTTCTAGAATCACAATGTAAAACCTCAACAGTGTTACATCACATTGGGAATAATAAACTCCTTTAGCAAAGGAATACTCGTATCTGTACTTCAGTGAAGGTGGTGCAGTCCATAGAGAGCGAGCTGCTAGCCAAGAGGCCGCACCATGCTGGTGGTTCGAATCCACCAGCTGCTCCCAGGGAGAAAGGTGGGAAATGTCCTCCCATCCGTCTTACAGCCTCTGAAAACCTGCGGGCTGATACATCTGTGTTAACAGTGATCGAGGCTGGCATTATCTCTCACGCTGCTCACAATCAGGAGACCCCCCCTCAGGCCCCTGCTGCCCACTGTTCCCACAGAGGCCACTCTCTGGGCTCTGGGGCAGGCCGCGCTGTCCCCTCCCCAGGGAGGGACGGAGCTGGACTCTGAGCTACAACATTCTCAGATGTCCCTTATCCTGCAAACTGATGTGCTTCCTGGTTGTTTTAACTGTTTGAGTCTTATCTGGCTTGCTCATGATCCCCTTAATTTCCTTTTGAAAATGAAGTATTTTTATACAATTCTGATTCAAAGCATGCCTGTTTTTTCTGGCATGGAAAGTGCCTCTGTCTCCCATCATGCTCAGTAACTCAGTGTCCAGGCCTGAGTGGATTCTGGGCTTGGTTCTGCTCTGACCTGCACCATTTCCGGCCCCATCAGCGCCCCCATCTCTCCACTCAGTTCTCAGAACCAGAATGTGGGGTGTCAGAGCCTGGGTGAGAATCTCTATCAGCCTGGGATGTCTGCTGTCAGGGCCTCACAGGAAGGCCCAGTTTCCTGGATCAGCAACCTCTCTCCATGTCTATGAGAAGTGATGTGGACTGAGCCTTGGTGTTCAGAGGAGTGGCTTCGGGCGGACATGCCCAGGGCAGGTCCAGGACCCTCTGCACCACAGGCCGGAGCATTCTCCAGGGCGGAGGGCGGAGGGCGGAGGGCAGGGACGGCTTGCTGTGGGCAGAGGGCTTGCCGAGGGGAGGGCGGAGGGCTTGCTGGGAGCAAGGAGGGGCTGTTACCCTTTTTACATCTTTGTTATTAGTAGGTGTTGCTGAAAGACTCCTGATTCAGTGACCCAGTTAGTGGGAATAACTGCCCTCTAGGGTTTACAGAGGAGCTCCGGTGGCCAGTGGGAAGAAGCTGTGTGGCAACTCCAAAGACAGGCAGTTCAAACCCACCAGCACTTTGCTGGAGAAGGATGTGCAGTCTCCTGCTGTGTGATTTCCTGCCTCTGAAAACCTGCTGGAGGGCCAGCTATGTGTCAGTTCACAGCACACAACAAAGGAAGGCTTCCAAAGCTGTCCTCTTCCCGGAAGCAGATTGCCCCATCTTTCTCTCACTGAGCAGCTGTCGGGTTCAAACCACCAACCCCTCAGTTAGCAGCTGGAGGCGTAACCACTGTGTCTCTGGTGCCCCAGGCGTGCAGGGTAGCGCTTCCCTGCAGGGTTTCCAACGGGGAGCTGCTGGCCTTTTTGGAAGCAGACAGCGCGGCCCCTGTGGGTGGGTTCAAACGACCCAGCAGTGGGGCCCTGAGCCATCTCTGGGGACCCTGCTAAGGAGCTCTAGGGGAGCAGTGTGCTATGTGCTTGGCTAACCGAAAAGTTGGAGGTTCAAATCCATCTGAGGAAAAAGATGAGTGGTCTCACCCCATGAAAACATACAGCCTCGGAAAGCTGACGGTCTGCCGTGGGTCAGGACTGACTCGACAGCGGGAGCTTTGGGTCTGAGATTCCGCTGGCCCTGTGCCCTCGTCCCCGCAGTGACCAGCAGCAGTGAGCTGCCTGCTCCCTGTTTACTTACCTGAGACGCCACCTTCCGACGAGCCAGGCTTCCCCAACCTACGGGCGCTCGGCAGGGCCTGGAGACGGCTGCTCCTCGAGTAATGGGGACAAACCAGACGGTCCTCTAGCCTGGAGGGAAAATAAAAAACCGAGAACCACAGCAATAAATACCGTCCTGGGGGCACAGAGGACTAGGTGTCCGGCTGCTAACCAAAAGGTCAGAGGTCTGAATCTACCAGACAGTCTGTGGCAGAAGGCTGAGGCAGCCTCTGTGGAATGATCACTGCCGTCGAACACTGAGTGGGAACCGACCCACGGCTGACCCTCTAGAGGGCTTTCACAGGCAGTTAATCACACGGGAGGAGACTGTCCATCCTTCTGCAGAGAGGTTGGGGGATTCGAACCATGTCCCTTTGGGTTGGGAGTGCAGTTCCCTATCATTAAGCTACCAGAGCTCCCTATGGAAACCCTATGGGGCGGTTCTACTGTGTCCGACAGGGTCGCTGTGAGTCAGAATCAAGGACTGCAGCGGGGCTTCTGGTTGCCATGGAGAGGACTCCCACGCAGGGTGAGCCCACGGGTGTCTGAAAACTGCCCGCTGTGCACACAGAGGGGATGCACGCAGCCAGGCAGCAGGTGTGCGAGGTCTGCCACTGGGTCACAATCGCAGGAAGTGGCAGGAGATCCCTTTGTTAAACCGCTATCAGATGGTCACTGTCCAGTGACTAAACACGGTGCCTGGCTCTGTGTTATCCCCATGACTGCTGGCTCAGGGACAAGGCCTGGCTGGCCCTCTACTTCACCAGACATGATGTCCATCCCCGTAAGGGATTCTTCCTCATGCTGTGCCCCTAGCAGGAGAGTCCGACAGAGCGCTGTTGTGACCTGGAAGCCATTTCATTGGCCAGGCCTTTCTCCCTAACCTTAGTGTGGAAGACCCATTGAAAGCTGTCCACCAGGGTTTTAAAAGTCCAGTATTTGAAATCCCCGTGGCAGATCTTCCAACATGACAACAACCCCATTCACAACAGCGCAGCCAGCTGGCAGATGGTGGTGGAAAGCCCACCATGGCTGTCCTGGGATGACGTCGGGTCAGCCCTGACTTGATGGAGAACAGATAAAAAGACTGTCAACTCCGCCATCCTCACAGTCTCCACTGTGCTCAAGTCCACTGCCACGGTCACTATGTCAATCCAGCTCGCTGTGGGGCTTCCTCTCCTCCACCGGCCCTCCGCTTCTCCCAGGATGTGTGAGATAGTCTCACTGGCCTTGTCTAAGGACCACTCTGGCTGTACTTTGTGGCAGACCCCAGTGTATCCAATCCCCTCCTCCAACACTCCAAGTCAAAGGCATCAAGTTCTCCTCTGTCCCTATTCACTGTCCCACTTTCACATGCATATCAAACAGTGGAGACTCTTGCCTTCGGTCAGGCACGCCTCGTCTCTAAAGTGACACTCGCCCTAAAGATTTCGCCCTGGGCAGCAGATCTGCCCAATCCACTGTGTTGTTTGACTTCTGGACTGTATGTCAGAAGAGGCTTTGAAACTTGCTCTTGAATGCACTGAAGCTAAAGTGAAAGGAAGAAATGAGGAAGTGAGAGAGCTGAAGGGATTACAGACTTGAGAAAACAAAGCATTATAATGACATGTGTTGAAGACCTGGGTTACAAAACCAAAAGGGAAGCACATCCTTGGCCTTTTTCAAGTGCGAAGAACTGAAGAAATCGACTGTTGTTAGGTGCCGTGGAGAACTGCCTTACAGCAACCCTATGGATAACCCTGTCCTGTCCACGCCATCCTCAAGGTCACTGCCAAGCTCACGCCTGCGTCACGGTCACTGCGTCATTCCGTCTCACTGAGGGGCCTCCTCTCCTCTCTTCTCCTGACTCTACTTTTCGAATCATGTCTTTTTCCAAGGGCTGAAGAAACTGGCATTAGCGGACACTCCGTCTTTCTAAGGCGACAGCAGATACAGGGTGGCTGACCTGAGGGGCGGTCACCTCCCCCATGCTGCCTCTTTCCTAACTTCACAGTGACACGTGGCTGTGAGCAGGTGCTTAGATCTTTCCACTGGACAATGTGGGAAACAGGATTTCAACCAAACACATGGTCTTCCTCCAGGGAGGAGGTGGATTAGGAAGCGACGAGTCCAGCCAGAAAAGGGCTTCCTGAGCTGTGACAATCGCTGGGCTGGAATGAGACTGTTGCTGTGTGCCACTGAGCTGGAGCTGACCCCTAGCTGACCCTCCAGAAGGCTTTCAGAGGCTGTAAATGACATAGGAGGGGATGGCTGACTTTGTCCTGGAGAGCACCTGGTGGATTTGAACCGAGCGCTTTTAGGTTGACAGGGTAACTCCTTACCACTAAGCCATCAGAGCTCCTGAGAACAACACTGGGGAAAAAACTATAAGCCCCTCACATTGTGCAGCCAGTAAGGTGGCTGAAGCACAATTACACAGCTGGTGGTGGGTGGGAGCTCACGTGCCAAGCCGTGCCAGGCCCGAGGGACAGCGGAGCCTGTGGAGTCCACCACAGAGAAGGGCGGGGACGAGGGAAAATTCTTCCAACTTCTCCTCAAGGGCTTCTTCACTCCAGGTGGGGAGAAACCAAGAGCTGCATCTTCAGAGTCTGCAGCAAACTTTTATGACCTCAGATTTGCCTTTCCTTTTCCTGGGGAAGCTGCTGGGTGGCTTCAAACTGCCAACCTTTCAGTTTCTGGCCAATAGCAAACCATCTGCAGCACCAAGCTCCTCTGGATGTCACAAGGATCAAACGCCAGCGGTTTCATGTGGTTCAACCCCAGCAAGGAGATAATTGGGAAGTGGATGACCAGCTGGGCAGGAGCCACAAGAGACATGGAGGGGGCAGGTCCACCCAGGATAGAGGGTTGTGGGGGGACAGGGACCTGCGTGCAGGTCCTGGGCACTGACAGGGCTTCCCAAAGGCTGACAAAGTTGTTTTCCAGCAGAGGTAACACCATGATCAAGAAGAGGTTAAAATAATTGTATTTACATTGTTGTCGTTAAATGGTATTGAGTCGTCAGTGTCTCATAGTGACACTATGCACGATAGCTCTAAACCCTGTTCTATTCCTGAGTCAATCTCATTGTCTCCAACACACCTATCCCCGAAACCCTAGTTACCATGTCAATCCATCTGATCCAGGGTCTTCCTCTCCTTTGCTGTCCTTCTACCCTTCCAAGCATTATGTCCTTCTCCAAGGACAGGTCCCTCCTGGTCACATGCCCAAAGTATGTGAGGCAGAGCTTCGGAATCCTTGCCTCAAGGAGCAGTCTGCTTTCACCCTCTCCAGGACAGACCTGTTTGTTGTCTTAGCAGTCTATGGTACATTCAAGACTCTTCTCCAACATCACAACTCAAACGTACTGATGCTTCTGTCATCCTTAGTCACGGCCCACCTCTCTGATGCACAGTAAGTAATTGCAAGGAATTAAATTTAAATTTTTAGTGCGTTGTTACTGAAAGATGTAAGCCAGCTGCTATTAGGTCAGCCTTGATTCAGCGGGGACCACGTGAATCAGGGTGGGGCTGTGCTGCAGAGGGCTTTCAGCGGCTTCTCTGAAGCGGATCACCAGGCCTTTCTTCCATGGTGCCTCTGGATGGAGTCAAACCTCCGACTTTCCAGGTACCAGCCAAAGGTGCTGACCATCTGTCCCACCTTGGGGGTGAGGCACGTCTGGTTGGCTCCGGCTCACAGCCATCCTGTGTACAATGCTGCCCGGCCTGTGCCATCCTCACCAGCATCTGAACCGCCCTCCCTGAGGGTCTGCCCTTCCTCACTGGCACGCTTTTCCTAGCACGATGGTCCTCTCCAGGGACTGGTACAAAGCAGCTGAGACAAGATCTCACCACCTTGCTTCTGAGGACATTCCAGATGCACTTCTTCCAAGGTCTGTGGGTTCTTTGGCAAGATATTCAACGTTTCTCCCATAATTCAAGGGCATCAGTTTCTAAGGCATCACAAGTAGTGCCGGGTGCCGGGCAGGGCAGCGGGAGGTAACCAGGGCCAGGGGGAGGGCGGGTACCTCGGGGATGACCAACTGAGGTGAGGGGCTTTAAGCCAGGTGGGATTTGGACTCAATCTCCCACAGGAAGGAAGTCTGTGATGGTGAACTGAAGTGGTCACTTTGTCTCCAGTCTGGGGCACGGACTGCACAGGTCTGGGGACCTGGAGGGCCAGGGCAGATAGGTGGGGTAGAGGGGAAGTGGGGGACAGCAGCCCAGGAAGAGGGGTACCTACACACAGGTGGGATGTGTGGGGTCTGGGAACAGCCAGATCTGGGCTCAGATGTCAGGCAAGGCATTACCCCCATTCCCTGGAGTCGGAAGGCCAGAGGTGTCGACCCACGAAGCACTGAATGTGGGTGCAGAGGAGCCCTGGTGATGCAGAGGCTGACCACTCGACGCTAACCGAAAGGTCAGTGATCTGACCCCACCTGCTGGCCTGTTGGAGAGACTGGCCGCCTGCTCCCGTGAGGACGGCGGCCTTGGAAGCCTGCGGGTTTGCTCTGTCCTGGAGGGTCACCGAGAGTCAGAATTGACTCAACAGCAGTGTCTGGGACTTTAGGGGTGAGTCTGGGCAGGGGCTGGATCTGAAGGTCATCAGTGAGCAGATGGAAAGCAGAGGACAGATGACATGAGAAGGGATGACCAGAAGAGACCCCCACAGGGAGCAGCACCAAGGATGGGGGACCTGCCTGGACAGGAGACCGGGGGGCAGGATTCATTGTCATGGGGTTGGGAGCAGGCTGAAAAGAGGGTCACCATGGAAGTCAGGTGAGGCAGGGTGTCCCAGCATATCGTGGGCCTGTGACAGGTGGGGTGTTTCAGTGCACTGTGGAGCTGTTACCTGTGACAGGTGGGGTGTCTCAGTGCACTGTGGAGCTGTTACCTGTGACAGGTGGGGTGTTTCAGTGCACCGCGGGCCTGTGACAGGTGGATGTGTCCTGACACACTGTGGATCAATTACCTGTGACAGGTGGGGGTGTCCCGGTGCCCTGTGGATCTGTTACCTGTGTGACAGGTGAGGGTGTCTCAGCACACTGCAGGCCTGTGACTGGGCGCAGCCATGCTCTGAAGTCCAGGATGGACCCTACAAGGATGTTGGAG